TCCTGGTCAATTTCCCATTATCCTCTTACTTCTTCCTAACAGTACAGAAGAGTATTGGCAGGAGGCTTTAACTCTTCCACGTTATTTATTTATATTTAATAATGTCTGCTTTTGCTGTCTTTGTCACTTTACCTAGGTTTTCATGAATGCTAAGCAAACACTATACACCATCTGTGCTCTCTGTCTATCCTTCCATTTCTAATTTTTTTCCTTTTTTTCAACGACAGGGTTTCTCTGTGTAATATCCCTAGTAGTCCTGAAACCTGGAACATGCTTTGGAAAACCAGGTTGGATTCAAACTCACAGAGATCTGCCTGCGTCTGCCTCCCAAATGCTGGGATTTGTACAACCACAGCTGGGCTCCACTTCTGATTCTTAGGAGTATTTTGCTAGAACATAAAAGGGTCGTGAATCTCTGTGAGTTCAAGGTCTTCCTGCTCTACAAGAGCTAGTTCCAGGAAAGCTAGGATTGCTAACCAGAGAAACCTTGTCTCGAAAAAAAACCAAAAAAAAAAAAACCCCAACCACAAACAAACAAACAAAAAACAAAAAACGTCCATTTAGCTGGGTGGTGGCTGCGCACCCTTAAGTACCTCTGAGCTGTCTGGAGGCAGGGGCATGTAGATCTCTGTGTGTTGCAATCTTGCATGGAAAACAGAGTGAGTTCCAGGGGAGGCTTCAATGCTACAGAGAAACACTATCTCAAAAAACGAAAGAAAAAAAATCCTCTAGTTATCTCTGGTATGGTGGTCCTTATGACTGCCATACACTAGGCATTACTGCATAGGTTAGGATTCCTCTGACTCCCTAGGGATGTGCTTGCTCACCCAAGTTAGGCTTCCCCCTGAGTCCCACAGGATGGGCATGCCTAGCCTGGTTAGGAGTTCCTCTGACTGCCACGGGATTATAGTGGCTTCCAGAGGTAGGATTTCTTCTGAATCCCACAGGATGGGCGTGGCTACCAGAGGTAGAATTTCTACTGACTCTGGCTGGATGGAAGTGGATACCAAGGGAGGATTTCTACTGACTGTCACTGAATGGGAGTGGATATCAGTAGTAAAAATTTCTCCTGATTCCCACAGGATGGGCGTGGCTACCAGAGGTAGGCTTTCTACTGACTCCCACGGGATGGGAGTGGCAAATAGAGGTAGGATTTTCTCTGACTCCATGGGATGGGAGTGGCTACCAGAGGTAGGATTTCATCTGATACCTATGGGAGTGGCTACCAGACAAAGGCTTTCCTCGGATACTCACGGGGTGGGAGTGCCTAACCAAAGCCTCTGGATGTCATCTGCACCTGGCACTTTCTCAGACCACCCCGAGATGGGTGTGGCTATCTTAAACCTCAATGTATCTCTTTCTTTTGGCTCCTTGAGACCTCCTACCAGCCCGTGTTCAGCATGACCAACCCCGTGGCTTTCGCGTGTTTTTCTGAGATATGGGTTTTAAGCGCTACCTCAGGCATTTAAAAATACGTAGAGAGCCAAGTGGTGATTTTGCAAGACTTTAATCCCAGCACTCAGGAGGCATGGGCAGGAAGATCTCTTTGAGTCTGAGGCCAGCCTGGTCTACAATAGCGAGTTCCAGGACAGCCTCCAAAGCTACAGAGAAACACTGTCTCTAAGGGGAAAAAATAGTAAGTACAGAGCTCACAGGAGTTGGTTCTTCATTCCACTGAACATTAACTACCGATTTTGCTGGCGATGAAGTCCGACAGACTTTCTTTGCTTCTGTACTCTTCCATGGCGCACTTTAGATCCCAGGGCCAGAACAACTCATGGTGGACGTGAATTCAGTTCAAGGTTCTTGCCTTACGATTTAGAAGTCAAAGGCTAGCTTTAATTGTGACCTAGGAAGCCACCATTTTCAGACTCAGAGTTACTTTCTAAGAGCGGGGGTCCCCGTTTCCTCCCAGAAACGTACAAAGCTACAAGATGCCTCAGATTTTTCCAGGGCAAGCATGGGTGAGAGCTAGCCCAGCTCCTGGGATTATTCCAGACATATTCCCCCTTGGTACACATTCAGGGGCCTTACCTTGACTGCAGACCTCTCTCAGAACTCGCCGGGAGCGGGGCCTGAGCAGCAGAGTTGGCTTCCGTGCCAGGGGCACTAAGACCCAGTTCCTCCCCCTCACAGGAAGAGAGGGTAAACCATATCTGGCCAGGGGCGGGCTCTGAAGAGTGACAGCAGGCACAGGTTACTATGGAACTGGACTGTTGTGGAGGAAATTTAGAGGAGAATCTGGTTTCCTTACTGTACTTCCCAATGATACTAATTTTTCCCACTGCCTCATCTTGCTTGGGCTATTTCGTGCAGAGCTGGAAACCAGAGCCTCTGAAGCCCCCACTTAATTCAAGCCCCATCCATCTCGCCATGCTTCCATCTCCCCCATACATCACCTGAACCCCCCTTCCCTTCTTTTTGTGTGTTGTGATTTCGGGGGTAAGCTAGCAGGGATCTGGGCGGGAACAATCGGGGTAGGAATGCAGCCCCTGTTCCTTATTACTACACTTCTCCCCCATTTTGCATGTCCTGGCCCAGGTTGCATGCAAGTCCTCTATTTAGAGCTTAATTCTCAATTTCAGCAACACTTCTCTGTTGTCCAGGAGCTCCACCCCACCCCCACCCCTACCACCATGGGGTTGGGGGGTTAATAAATGACACAAGGGCACAACTTCTGCCTAGTAGGTTTCAACTAGGTAGAGTGAAGCTCGAGGTCCTGCCCCATATGCACCCAAGTCTGCCAGCTACACACATAACCCTCCCTTGCCTCAGTCCTTTAAGTGGAAGTCTAGGTTTACTCCACAGGTTGACAGCTTTGTCCTGGACCTCAGAGTGCTGTGTCCCACTCTTTTCCAGAGCCAAGTAATGACTCAGGTTCAGGCCCAGTCTTCGTAGGAAGCCACACCTTTCTGAGTCTCAGAGGAGATGATTTTGGCAAACTTTCTCACATGGTTCTCAAGGCTTGAGTTTCTTGGGCCTGACAACAGGGTCAGGGTTCTGAGCCCACACTTTCTCTTAGGAGAAAATTCCTTTCAATCCGCAAAGGTTTTCTCAGATTGACCTTGACTTGAATAGGAACTCTACCTTGCAGACCTGGGACTCTGTCCCTCAAAGTCTATTAGGGTGTTTCCAGCAACACTGAAGGCAGAGAAGAGACGCACAAAACTACTGTCTGCTGGCTCAACCGCATGATATCTGGGGTTCCTGGCATCTTCTCTTCTACTGATTTTGGACCATTTGCATCACTTCACTCCCCTCAGTTCCCAAAGTGGAAGTGTCATCATGCCCCACTTAGGATCTATTTCCCATCCCTCAACTTTCCAGGTAGAAGCATGGCTGAGGGTTTTCATGTAGCTCTCTGTGGAAATATTTGTCATATTTGTCCAGTAGAACAACTTTTACAACATTATGTAATTTATTAGGCATATTTTAAGTAACTTTCACTCTCTGAACAGAATATTACTAATGATTAAAGCAATGACTGTCAGTCCACACATCAAAAGCTTTTGCAATGGGAAAACAGTTTTTTAAAATTTAATAATAGTTTTAAATGTTGATCTATTGAAAGAATATTAAGAACTGATCAATACTTAATTAAATATTGTTAAATGAACAGGGGTGGTGAATATCTTTAATCACGGCATTTGGGAGGAAGAAGCAGGTGGATCTCTGTGAGTCTGAGCCTAACCTAGTCTATAGAGCAAGTTTCAGGACATCCAGACTACAAAGAGAAATTCTTTCTCAAAAACAAACAAAAACAACAATAAAAAAAGAAAAGAAATAATGTTGTAGAAAATCAAGCATTTATCTCAGGGTATTTTATCAACAATTAAATTTTTTAACCTACATATAATTTTAAATTAGTTACAAATTTATTTGTAAACACTCTTTTACATCATACTTAATCTTAACATTATGATTGCTATTAAAAAATTCAGAAAACAGTTTAATGAGGTGATTTTAATAGAAAGCTAAGTTGCTTATATGATGGAGATAGAGACAGAAACTCACACTGGAGCACTGGACTGAGCTCCCAAGATCCAAATGAGGAGCAGAAGGAGGGAGAACATGAGGAAGGAAGTCAGGACCATGAGAGGTGCATCCACCCACTGAGATGGTGGAACTGATCTAATGGGAGCTTACCAAGTCCAGCTGGACTGGGACTGATGGAGTATGTGATCAAACTGGACTCTCTGAATGTGGCTGTCAATGAGGGCTGACTGAGAAGCCAAGGACAATGGCACTGGGTTTTGATTCTACTGCATGGACTGGCTTTGTGGGAACCTGGTTTGTTTGGATGCTCACCTTCCTAGACCTGGATGGAGTGGGGAGGACCTTGGACTTCCCACGGGGCTGGGAACCCTGACTGCTCTTAGGACTGGAGAGGAAGGGGGAGGGGGGAGGAAGAGGGGGAGGGAGATGGGAGGTGGGGAGGAGGTGGAAATTATTAAAATAAAAAAATGAAAAAATAAATAAATAAATAAATAAAAACAAAAAATAAAACACCATAGACATATGGTATGTTAGATAAAACATACAAACTTAGGTAAAGTGTGTTACAATTTAAGGAAAGTGCTGCGGATCCCCAAG